ATTGTCCAGATAAGAAATGAAGGAGCCCACAAAAGTGGTGGGCTACATATGAGTGCTTGTACCAGTAATACTGTGCCTGGTCAAACACAGGCTTTTCTCACAAAATAGTGACAAGATGACCCCTGAGCATGTACAGTGCACAGCTTCTCAGGCCAGATGTTAGGTCATAACCAGTCTTACGTCTCACAATGTGAACCCACAGGTAGTCATCTTCACACTGAGGAAAAACACACCAGCCAGTGGCCCAGAGGAACGGGGTGGTTCATGTGTTTATTTATACCCCCAACATGTATTCGGTAGCATTTAGGTGTAGTGAATTGGAGCAGATTTCTTAGCTGATGGCATATAGTGCTGAATATTACCATTCATAGCCATCACAAAGTGTGTAACGTCGGTGATTTCCAATCAGCGTGTTGCTTAGCTAATCGGCAACGCGGCCATTGTTCATTGTATGACTGCTACCACAGAAAACAGGGAAACGTGTTTAGATTAGTCATATTTTCTTTAATATAATGGGTATCGACCACTCCAACCAGCTATGCCTGTAGCTAACTCGTTAGCCATCGACCTAATACAAACAACGGTGTGGTCAGCGATCCTATAACAAATCATTGCCAGGTTGGCTTTGTAGTCATCAGAACCATGAAACACCCGGAGACACATCACTAATGCCACAATAAACTGAACAGTACCTTTTCTGCGTCGACCCTGGTGACTATAGGAACATTTCCTGGCAGAGATCCTTTGTTTGTGAGATTTGGGGGCTTGTTTTCATCAGTGCGTTTTGTCTCTCTCCTCCAGGAGTCGTGCCGCCCCGGCTGACAGCACTATTGCTTGGGATGACAGGGCCCCGCCCTTAGCAACCAATCAGATGCCGAGGTGCTGGAATCTGAGGCAGGGCACGTCTCCCATTGGTTTCCAGTGGTGCCCATTAACGTGTCGCTAGGGGCGCACCTTGGTCCAAGGGCAGGACACCTGTCATGGAAGGATGCTAAATGTAGCAGGGGCAGCCAAATCAAGTGATTAAAGAGCTGTAGAAAAACACTGAACAGTCATGTAGTGGCATGACAACAGACAAGTGTACCACAGGCAGCTGCACAGACAAGGAGATGAAATACTTTCTTTTGACCTTGCATTTGTGGCAAGGTTCTTTGTTAATGTCTATGTACTGTATAAGAGTTAAACAGGCTTACGGCGCACACATTTAAAAAGCACTGCTTTATTTCACAAGGTGAGCACATTTTAAAATTCCACTTAGTGTTGTTCTTCATGCTGTAAATCTTGGTGTGTACAGCATATTCATGACTATAACACATATTTACATATACAGAGCTGTAAAAGTAAAGTGAAGATACTTTCAGAAAAAATGCCATGAATAGTTTTTCATTTACCAGACAGTAAAAAAACAGTGTTTTAAAAACAGCACCAGTTCTCCTGTTGCTGCACAGCAGTTAACCTGTGTGGCAGATAAGTTGTTCCAAGAATCACAGAGATCTTGCCACAGTTCTTCTGTGGGTTTAGACTGTCTTAAAGTCATCTGTCTCTGTTTCTTAATGTAATCCCAGACTAACTTCATGATGATGAGATCAAGACTCTGTGGGGGCCAGACCATCTGTTGCAGGAGTGCTTGTTCCTCTTGTTGCTGAGGATAGGTCTTTATGACTCTGGCTGTATGTTTGGGGTTGTTGTTATGTCACAAGCAGCTTTATCAGCTTTATTGGCCAGGTGTGCTAGACATGAAGAATTTGACTCTGGTACAGTGGCTCTCAATGTTCACGTACATATCCCCATGCAAGGCAACACCAAGGGGCAATTAGGCAATATACTACAATAAAGCTGTGTAGTATAACAAAATAAACAGTATAAACTAGCAATAAGCAATGTAGTCAGACAAAGGAATGTTCAGTTGGAGATGAGATAAAAATAGAATAAAAATGGAGTACTCAAAAATAAATATAGAGACCTGTACAAATGGCCGTCCCTGGTAGGCTAGTGGTGGCTCTCACTGCTGTGGCTCGGGTTCGAATCAGGGTTGTGTCAGGAAGGGCATCCGGCATGAAACACGTGCCAAATGTCAACATGCGAGTCGTCAGTGTGACGATTCGCTGTGGCGACCCCAGGAAAAGCTGAAAGTGACTTGTATAGAGACCTGTACAAATCTGTTCTGTACAATGTATATTTACTGGTATTGCACTGAGGGTTATTGTCCAGTCATACTGTTAATCAGAGTGATTGTCCCGTGGAAGAAACTGTCCCTGTGCCTGGTGTCTTAGTGCACAGTGACCTGTAACGTCATCCAGAGGGGAGGAGTTAAAACAGATTGTGTCCCGGGTGTGAGGGGTCTGCAGTGATCCTCTCTGCCTTCCTTTTGACCTGTGAGGTGTACAGGTCCTCTATGGAGGGCAGGCTTGCACCAATGACCTTTTCTGCAGTCCTAACTGTCCACTGAAGTCTGTTCCTGTCCTGCTTGGTTGCAGAGCCAAATCAGACAGTGGTGGAGGTGCAGAGAATACCCTCCCTCTGTAGAACTGTATCAGCAGCTCATGGGGCAGGTCAAACGTCCTGAGCTGGCCCAGGAAGTACATGCTTCCTTGATGGTACATTTGAAATGTCTTAAATGAATATACAGTAGGTCTACTGTATATCACATATCTTCCTGAAATAATTATCTCTGTCCATTAACTTTTGTAACTGATGATGCTTGCAAAATCCATTCATCCACCCATTATGAACTGCTTATCAGGTTGCAGGAGCAGTAGGATCAGTAGAGGACTCCAGACATCCCTCCCTTCAGCCCAGAACACACTACTCTGCTTTTATCCATAAAGGTGGCAGCCTATTCTGACAGCAATGGTCTGCCACAGTTAGAGGTTGTATGTCTGCAGAGAAGCAATTCTGAAGCTTGAGATCCTGTCCTTGAAAATGACAAACAGGATCGGTGACAAGGGGTAAGTCTTACTGGGAATGTACTTGTAAAATCTCGTAACATAACAAAACTCACTCGTCCACACTTGCTTCAAACATTTCTATTTAACATGCAATCTTTAGTCATTTGCATACAGTATTAAACAAATAAAATACTTAAATGTACTTTCAATTTCAGGATTTTTTTATTTCACTAAATAGAAACAAACAGTTCCTCAACCTGACTCCAATAAACAATGACAAACAGGATATACTGTATATCAACAAGACAGTCTTCTGTTCCACATATTCTACAACAAAAATAAACATACATCTGGCCAGCATATTAGGAAATGATGGTCTTTATTTCATTTGAAAATACCAGTGTTTGGTATACTTTGCAGAAATGTACACAGTTAAGATGTCAACCTTTCCTCATCTTGTTACACTTTCACCATTATTTGGCTGTTGATTATGGTCATTGTATTAAAGTAACAGTTAAAAGGCAGTGAAAACAAAGGCATACTATATATATATATATATACATACAGTGGGTACGGAAAGTATTCAGACCCCCTTAAATTTTTCACTCTGTTATATTGCAGCCATATGCTAAAATCATTTAAGTTCA